GTGCGTTCGTCGAGCGATAGAGGTGCGTCGTGCCGTTCGTTCGATAGAGGTGCGTCGTGCCGGTCGATCAGTGTAGCGGATCGGTGGTGGTATCGGTTGTATAGAAGGATCTTATAACATCTGTTGAAGAGACTAAAGGTAGCGATAGATGTATTACGAATGATGTTATAAGATTATGAGGAAAAGCTACTTTGTTGTCTCTGGATCTGTAGATGAGTGGAGGCTAGATTCCGGTTGACGGTGGACGGTCAGACGGCCGGAATCAGCAGCCAAGACCGGGGAAGGTTTACGCTGTACAGGCTGGTACCGGTACTAGCTAGCTCTAGTACTGCCAAAAATATGCGGAGAGGGAGCTGGAAAGGAAGGAAAGGACAGAGGCTATCCGTGCAGAGTGCTCTCTGGCATATCTGGCTACCGGTAGCTAGTGTGGCACCAAAATGGAATAGATAGAGAGATCTGAAGAGGATGTTCGAATTGTGTGAAGATTCATTAGAAGAAACCAGTTTTACAGTGTTTAAATTTCAGCCGCGCTCTGCGTCTTCAATGTTGCAGTTCATAGATCTTCATCGCATGCAGGTTACATCACTCATCACTCATCCATTCAAAATTGATTACAAAACTTAACAAAATTAACCCTCCGACGACGCCGAAGTCATCCTAATCCAGAAAGCTCGCCATCGTCTTAACCGCGCTTTCCCTTCTTCTTCTCCTTTGTTTGTTTCTTAGTAGCTTCCGGCTCCGTACCGATCGGTTTCTTTGTAGGTGGCAACGTAGGAGCTTCAGTTGGGAGAAGCGTGGGAAGGGGGGTGGGTAGCTTTGAAGGAGGCAACGTTGGGGCTGCAGTTGGGAGAGGCGTGGGTGTCAGTGTTACAGGTGGCAGCGATGGAGCTTGAGTTGGTAGTGGTGTGGGGTCTGGAACAGGAGCTACTGTTGGGGTATCAGTGGGCAACGGGGTTGTTGGCGCTTTTGTAGGGACTGGACTGGGTGGAGGCGTTGCAGGGTGCAGAGTTGGAGACGAGGTTACTGGAATCTCAGTTGGCTCGGGTGTGATGATTGCAGAGTCTGTAGGGGAATCCGTTGTCACTGCAGAGGTTGGACTTTCAGTGAATTGTGCTGTAATTGCAGCGGTTGGACTTTCTGTGAATTGTGGTGTGTCGCTTGGGGCTTCACTAGGAAAGTCGCTTGTGGGCGCAAAAGTCAACGGGGTAACGCAGCATTTGTAAACCGCAGGCAAGAGGGTACTGCAATCCGCGGCTGACCAGTGCCCTGCTGGAGTAATGTTCTTCACGGCGATCTCTGTAAAGGTTATGTTTGCCTTCAAACAGCCTGCGACTGCTGTGGATGTGTTTGTACCAAAGTCCCACAAGGATTCATCACTCCATCCCCACTCGAGCCCACCACTGGAATCCACAAACGTTTCGCCTCCCAACCAATACGAGGTGTTGAGGGTGTAGCCTCCCGTGAAGCTGGCGGCAATCTCGAGGCCAGTCAACAAACCAAAGAGACTTGCAGTGGCAACGGTACTGCTGACTGCCATTTTGTGGATTGATGCCAAATGACAACCGCTGGCAGTGGCGTTTGCTTCGTGTTCTTCCCAGGTCCCTTTGGTCTTGACGTAGGTCAAGTTGACTTCCAAACATCCGGGATATGGTTCGGGCTCTTTGGCCAGCTTCTCAGCCGCCTTGGCTTCCTTCTCCTCTTCTTTTTTGGCCTTCTTGGCCTCTTCCTTTGCCTTCTTGGCCTCTTCCTTTGCTTTCTTTTTCGCCTCCTTGGCGGCTTTCTTGGCAGCCTACAGTTGGTTTAGACAAGTATAAGAGCGATGTTAGTTCTGTCGACAATAGAAAGACATCGGACACACCAATCCATTTGACTTACCTTTGCGGCTTCCTTTGCTGCTTTCTTTTCGGCCTTGGTCATCGTGGACTCGTCCTTGGAAGACTTGGGAGATGGCGCGCCCAGAGGTCCATCGTATACCATGACCACCTTGAAAAACATCTTCTTGAAAACTAGCCCCACCTCAGGCTCGGTAACAACTGTAACTGTGATGAGACAATACAGGAGTACGCATATCGAAGGAATCATCCATCGCCTCGTACGACCTCGTTTGGGATCACTCATCAGCGACTGGTGAAAGTCTGTGAGATCGTGTTCTTCGTTGGAGACCCTGGGGATGGAACCATAGGTTAGTAGACCGCTTGTTTCCGACGCATTCTGTTCGACATCATCATTATCGGTGTTCTTCTTCTGATATGAAGAGAGGTGGGACAAAGGAACTTCACTCATTATAGCTCTGTAGGGATCAGTCAACAACAACAAGCGACAGGATATTATGCCACCATAACGGTATGATGTGCTGTTGGCATCATGTGGCACTACCTGGTACTAGCTATAGTGGCCCCTTGCATCTTGTATGATGCTGGCTTCCGCAGAAAATTTCCTGTGATCCAAACTCCTTCCCAGAGTTGGGAGGTACGACCTGTACGACTGTACGGTGCCAGGTAGTCAACGGTCAAAGATCGGAATCTTTGGTGAATCTTTCTTCGGTTTTTGGATCTTTTCTAGAAGAAAGATTTTTTCTTCCTTTTTTGGAGGTTCCTGTTTCTGTTGGCCGCTCTGGTTAGCTAGATAGCCAGCAGGAGATAGTGACAACCACGTCTATAGGTACCGGTATGATATTGTTGTCCTGAAAGCATCTTGTCTTCTCACATTTTTGTTAAAATGGATTGCGAGGCTTGGTTTTATTGGTGGCACAAGCAAATCAAGCCCAAAATGGGCAGGAAATCGATGCCGCTCTCGTGACACTTTAGCTACCGGTAGCCTTGTTCTAAAACAATGAGGCCCAGACTATGGTCCGCCTTTACAATGTGATACCGGTTTTCGAGTCCATCGAAGCCTACTAGTACCGGTAGCTGGCTAGCCAGCTAGAGGCCTGCTAACTATCCTACCGTACATGTAGCTGTCGGTACCGGTACCCGTATGGACGTATGGACACGAGGAGCTGCCACCAAGCCAGAGATACACTTTTCCACATCTGCCATTCTTTGAATTTGCAGCCTCTTGGCTTCAAACTTACCGTACGGTAGGTTAGGGTGGAGTCCTCAGTGCTCAGTCAAGTCACGCGTCACAGTCGTTACCGGTACCGGCCACCCGGGGCGACCCCAACCCAAATTTGAACGGCGCCACAAAATCCAAAAGCAACGACTATTTTGCTTCTTTCCCATTTGCCATCAAAGAACAATCATTTCTTTTGCGTCGTTCCACAAGTTGTTGTTGATCAAGTCTTCACCATGCCACTAGCAAGTGCCCGAGGGGCCTCTGAAAAGAGAACCAAGGAGCTTCAGGAAGAAAAGGCTCGTCGAGAAAAGCGTGAGAGGGTTGACAAGGGACGAATGTCTTTACCAAGAACCACCACACGTTCCACAACCCGAGTCGGCCCTGAAAATGTCAAACGTCGTAGACAAGCGCGAGAAGCTTCCGAAGAACGCATGAAGAAACAGATCAAGGCACCTCCAGCAAAAGCCAAGCATGACGAGACGATGCAGCTTGATGATGGGTCCATCAAGGAAAACATTGGAAGCCCAACCGCAAACGTGGCCCCAGCAGATCCACTTCCCATCAGCTCACCAACTCCATATTGGAAGGTAAGAAAGATCGTTATATCCTTATGGTATTGATTTTCCAATTGCAGCCATCTCTCTTCTTGGTGGCATTGACTTACATTATCTCTACTTGACCTTCCAACTTAGGCAGTGCAGGGGAGGAGAAAGAGCCAGAAATTCTCACCTCGTGAGACTCGCTCTGCCAAGAAGAAGAAGAAGTCTCAAGAGATAGACGAACATCCCATTGTTGGAGGGGGCACTGCCCTTGTCTTTTCGCCTCCTGATCAGAAACAGAATGCAATTCGCGAAAAGGAAGAACTCGAGACCAAACTGCAAGCTCGGGATGGCCGTGTATCGGCTCAAATCGAAGAGGGTGAGTTCTAGCAGCCTGTGATATGGTAGGATGCAATACCTACCTACAAGCTCTAGACTAATGTACACTGATGTATCTAATCTCTGATTTCCAGGCAAATACTTGGAGTTTTCTCCGACATCGTTCAAATGCCGCAACCGCAATTTTGACGAAATGGAACGGGAGCGTCGAGCACAAAACAAAAACAATGACAAGCCACCAATGGACAAACGACCAGAGGCTGATGAATCGTTTGATTCTATACAAGGATCCGACGCAGGAGTCAATGATTCATCGAGAAGTCATGTGTCCGGAATCACTACCATGTCGACAAATCAGAACGATGAAGTGCTTCGAATTGAGCTCAAAACAATCAATGAGAAACTCGATAGTATTGCTAATGAGAACAGGCGCAATTCCGACGCAGGTCTCATGCTGCAGCAGCAGGGTATACAACAAACTTTGGAGAAGGAACGAAGCGCTCTAGAAGCGGAACGAGCCAATACGAAAAGGCTCGAGACCAGCAAAGCCAACCTGGAATCCAAAGTCTCTTCGCTTGAAAACAAGCTCGTTGCAAATCAAGAAGAGTTTGAAGCCGAGAAGAAACGTCGCGATGCCGACATGGAATCCTGCAAGGGTGAACACTCTCGCAATGTAGAAGAACTCAAAGGTGAAATTGCCGCCCTTCAGCAGGAAAAGCAGGAACACCTGCAGGAGATTGATACCCTCGAAGCAAAGCTCAAGGAGGCCAAGGCATTCCTATCGACCAACGAGGCCGACTCGAAGCAAATTGAGCAGCAAATGGCACAGATTGAAACCCTCAAGGGCGTCGAGCAGAAACACCTCAAAACCCAACAAGAACTAAAGAATGTCATGTCTAGCCGAGCCCAGCTAGAAGCCGAAGTCAAACGTTTGGAAGGAGACCTGAAAACATACAAGGAAAACGCCGCAGATTTGGAGTATCAACTCAAGGATGCACTGGCATTGGTGCAACAGAACGAGGCCGAATATCAAAAGGAAATTCAAGCCCGTGACACAACAATCAATGACTTGATGGAGAGAGTGAAATCACTCCGACAAGAAAAGGACGACACGGGTGGAGAACTTGACAAGATCCGTCGTGCCAGTGAAGCAAAGGACAAACAAATCTCGGATCTTAAAGCTGCATTGGAGGCTGCAAAGCAGAAACACAAGGAGACCCGCGAATCATTCTCAAGGGAAAAGGACGACGTAGAAAATAGTTTGGCAAACCTTAAGAATGCCCTTGAAACGTCGACGATGAACCTCCGCAAAGCCCAGCTGAATGAGGTTGCCAAGCAAGAGGAATGTCAGCAGAAAGACGAACGGATCGCAGAATTGGAACGTCAGATCTCCAAATGCAAACGAAGGTTGAGCACTTCGGACGATAGGGAAGATGAGCTTCTTCGTAAACTGCAAAGGAGCGATCAAATTCGAGTCGAACTCCACAACAAGGTCACACAACTTAGCGGCAACATTCGAGTCTTTGTGAGAGTGCGCCCTTCCATTCCTGGCGAAGACGAGAAGCTCAAAAAGGCCCTGGAAGAGAAAACAAAAACACAGCGCAAGACCAAAGTACAACCAAGCAATGAAAGTCCTTTCAACTTTCCAGGGCAGCTGGAGGAGAACGAGTCCAAGGAGAGTGAAGACCTCACCAAACGTGTCATTGAGATCAAAGAGCCAGCAAAAGACAGGGGCGGCCTCAGTGACCGCCGAAAAGTGTGGCGCTATCCTTTTGATAATGTCTATTCGCCCTCTAGTGCACAAGAAGATGTTTGGGAGGGAGTTGCGCCTCTCATTCAAAGCGCCATTGACGGGTTTCCAGTCTGCATCTTTGCCTACGGGCAAACAGGTAAGCAGTGAGATTTGCGTGCCTACTTCCACATGTGTTTTGCGTCATGCCTCAATCGATGGAGCTGTTTGCGTTCTTGACAACGTCAGGCTCTGGAAAGACTCACACCATGCTGGGGGAACCAGGTAATGAGGGAGTCATTTGCCGAGCTGTAAACAAGATGTTTGCTGCCAAGCGAGAACTGGAGGAGTTTTCTCGTGGCACCACGGAGGTGGATATGTCTGTCGAGCTACTTGAGATCTACAACGAGCAAGTGCGAGATCTCCTTGTACCCAACGCTGGCCCCAATGGTCGGGAATGCACGCTGAAGATCACATCAAACGAAGTTGTAGGGAACATCCGAGTACCAGCGGACTCTGAGGAACAAGTCATGAAAGTCCTAGCCCTAGCGCAGTCGAGACGTTGCGTGAAAGCTACCAATTCCAATGCAGAGAGTTCTCGAAGCCACATGGTCTTTACTCTCCATTTCAACGTGGCAATGAAGAACGGGATCAAGCGTTCTGGCCGTCTCAACATTTGCGACCTCGCTGGCAGTGAACGCCTCGGCAAAAGTGGTGCCAACACAGTTGTCAAGGTACGGAATGGAATGCCATTTGCTTCATCATTTCTTGTGATATCGTGCGCTGATCAATATGTTTGCCTATTTCTCTCTTTCTTCTCTTATTTTTAGGGAGATCTCATGAAAGAAACAAAGGCCATCAACTCGTCACTTTCCGTTCTCAGCAACGTGATCGAGAAACTACAAGCCGGAAGCAGTAGTATTCCTTATCGCGAGTCCAAACTGACTTTCCTTCTTCAAAACAGTTTGGGTGGCAACTCGAAGACTCTTGCCATCGTATGCTGCAACCCTCACGCAGCTCATTTTCACGAAAGCCTCTGCTCCATCAGATTTGCGGAGAAGGTGAATAAAGTCGAATTGAAGGCTATGGCCAACTTCTCGTGTTGATGTCTTGATGCCGATCACGGCAGAGTAGTGGATATATGAGGCGAAGACTCAACGTTGAAAGTGCATTTTACCGTACAACTTTAGTAAACATACTTATACTTGCACTTCAATTAATTCTCAACACGGTCGAATCTACAGTCCCGCCGTGACGGTGAACCCTCAGCAGTTGTAGTACACTGTATTCATCTCGCCATCATGACATACGGTATTCTTGCTGCATAGTCTAGCTAGTCGTTGAGAGAGTTGAGGAAGTCATGGAGTTGCGACGACTTTGGCTTGGAGTGCTTTCTTTTCTTTTTCTTCTTGTCAGAGCCCAAGGGAATGAAGTCTCGTGTAGGCAGTTCCGTTCTGACAACTGCTGGTTTGGTATGTTTCGCAGCCGCTACGGAACCACTGGTCCTAGTAGCAACTTTATCGACTGGGGGCTGCTCCTTTTCTTTTCGGGGGAGTCCAGGAATTTGCGTTTGGTACCCACAGAGCCGACAACCGACGACCAGGGCATTCTTCACGTGAGTGGGATGCAAAGGTGCCAGTTGCCAGAGAATCGGAGGATTGTCGTCGTCGTTCTTTTCTTTCTTTGCCACTCTTGACTTCTTGGGCTGCCTCTTTCTCTTTTTCTTGTCAACGGACCGGATGCGTGTTTTGGTATGTTCGGCTCCTGGTTGCAATGGGTTCCCACATGTATCACAAGTTGGAAGGACATGATAACGGGTCGCTGGGTTCTCCAGGGTCTTGACGTGCCAATCGAGAAGATCCTTCCCACTTCTTATTTGATCCATATCTATTCCATCCAAGTTTCCATGACGATGTTTTTCTAACCCTCCCGCTGAAAAGGAATGCCAAAAATGGAGGTAGGCTTCCCCAGAACACGACGAGTCGCCTTCAGCGTCCTTCGTTTCATTCAAGTTCTGGACTACCAGATGCGATGCTGCTCGAGAGTAAGCAATGGTTTCCACAGAAGCCGATTGCTGTCGGCTGCCCAACATGTTCCAAAGGAGACAGGACAAGCAAAGACTTGGACAGGGTCGTCGTAAATGGTTGGCAAATCCAATGGCACAGGATTTGATGTGCCCTAAACTAATAAGCCGGCGGAAGCTGGGAATAAAGAGAAGAAGCCTGGAAACAGACGTCGAGGATGCCCGAGTAGAGGGGCCTTTGTGCTACTGTAGCGTTAGATAGCCAGACCAGGCTGGAGTATGGCAGTATTGGGCCTGAAGGGGACCCTGATGATTTGAAACCACATGGTACATCCTCCAGTCCCTTCGAATCTACATGTATTTGGTTCTCTGCGCCTTGGGTGAATCAACCGCAAAAAGTTGTTTCGTGGCCAATGGAAAAACACTTTTTGGTGATGGGAACTTCTCATTGGCCTGCAAACTAACTCCTTCCTGCATGCATGGGAAAGGCACCGGAGAGATACAATAAATGTTTGGGGATACGGAAAGAATCTATATTTCCACACTGCAGTTCGTGGTGGGACCCATAATTAGTCCATTGCGCGCTGCCTTGTCTCGTACGACTGCAGAAAGCAAAAAGGCACAGCTAGCTAGGCGTTGTTCGCCCTCTCCTTCTGTTTATCACACAGTTGCCAGTCTACAGCCAAACGAGCATCATCCAAGCGCACGCTTCGTCTTTGACATCATTATTAATTTTCAACTGGAAGTTTGTCATAACGTCATAACGAAGTGCTACGAGAAGACGATGGCCGAGTCATCTTCGAACGAACGAGGTTGAGAGTATCCACACGCTCGCTCGCTCTCGTGCGGCAGGAACATTGCCCCGACGAAACCCCCGACACGAAGGAAAAGATCGGGTGCAATGCCGATTCAAACCAGAAAAACGTGGAGTGATTGAGTCCCTCCCAAATCCACCCAGCGCACAAAAGCAACACCAAACAAGCACCAACACCAAAACAAAACCGATATGTACGTTGTCATGTGGAATTCTTGTAACTTCTTTGAATATTTTTAACCTTTTCTGTCTTCATTTTGTTTGTTTGTGAATTGTTGTGTGGGTATGTGTATTGTAGGTTGGGTTGGAAGAAAGGCAATCTGGTTTTTCAGTCAAACATTCCCCGAACAAGAGAGTTTCTTGTTTGGCAAAATTGAACGACATCATTCTGCAGAACACACAACAGGTTGCGTGTGATCCACACCAGTATCCTTTCTTCCGTGTCGGTGTCACTCTTCCTGTCTCTTTTTGTTGTGGGTGGTAGATTGATTGAATCGATTCCTTCCTCGTCTTGAAATCGAATAATTCAATCATGTCCGGCCAGCCACTTGTTCTCTCTAACCAGGCAGTTGTTGTTGATTGACTGACTGACTAGCCAGAGTACGGTAGAAGCAAGAGACAAGAAAGACCAGAGTGACACGGGAGTTAACCTCACCCGCCTCCCATTCTGGCCTCCGCGTTGGATTGAAGAGACCCTACCCCACGAACGTTGGATCCACGACCAAGTCGGTTACCCGAGTTGCCGCCTCCATAGTTGTGGCTTCGACCTCCATTTCGCTGTGCATACGTGCGGTTCTGTCAAGGAATGAATCATTGGATGGAAAGGTCAGACAGACAAGCCTGAAAAAGAAAGAAAAGAAAAGAAAAGAAACCGAACGAAACTCACCGAAGACGATGCCGAAATGGTAGGTGGGTTCATAATACTGGAAAAGAAGAGCGCAAAAAAGCTGTAGATTGCCGCAAATAAGTCGGAAAACCACCGTCCGATGGACTTGGACCCTCCGACGGTCCCGTCTCCAGAGACGTATACCATTGTCAGAGTTTGGTTCTTTAGGTTTGTTTGTGTTGGTGTTGTTGTGTCGTTTTGAGAATTTACCTGGGTGCCTGTTGCCGGTTATTCTGCTGCCTTCGTGACCGGTGTGAAAACACGACACACGACACACGACACAGTCGAAATGAATTTTAAAATTGATCAACATTGGAATCTTCAGAGAGATTTATTACTCTATTTTCTACAGTCCCAGCAATCAGAGCGTCATTTTCTCATTTTCTCAACCTGAGATCTTTGGATCTTCCAATCGCCAGTGCAAGTGTTTGCATCACCATTTCCCACAACATCATCAAAAGTTGCCGTGGTGGTCAAACAGTACCGGTAGGCAGGTACCACCGGTATATAGTGAAAGTAGTAGCACCATGTCGTCCAAGGTGTCTGCTCCCCCCAGTGAAACCAACAAAGACATTGACAAGAACGATGGTGGTGAATCCGAGATGAGCCCCAAACCAGAACGAGTCAAATTCGACCAGAAAGACGAAGAAACAGCCAAAGAAGGAGAAGAAGAAGTGGCAGCTCCAACGCAACGGATTGATGGCAGCCAGCAGAGTCTCCAGGGAAACTCTGTGGGAGATGTGACGGCATCTGTCGCGTCTTCTTGGGCTCCTCCTCAACAGCGTCGCACTACTGCCATGTCGGATGCCGATAGTTCCACATTACCATCGACCTATCATCGGACAACTCGTCGCTCTCCCAAAAAGAAAAAGGTTCGCAGCAAAAAGCATAAAGATGAATCACTCGCTGGACGCTTGGGAAACTCGGCATTGGCCAGCACGCTGGAGATTCTCAAACTGGCAGGAGGAGCCACTCTCCACACCACGGGTACCATTTTGTCTCCTTCCCTGGAACTCACCAAAAATGTCATTCTCCCCAATTTGCTCGGTTCTGCTGCCGACTATCTGAGTCAAGTCAGTCCGCAACGGCTCAAGGATTGGTTCCGCATTTTCAGTGCCAGTATTCACCATCTCATTGCCGTCATTGTCAGCACCGAACGAGGGTCGATATTTCGTCACAAGGTAGTCCGCGTGGGAGGAAATGTGGTAGATGTGGCCTGCAGCGATACCTCGCGACAGGTACTCATGGATGGGATGGCTGCCTTTATCAAACTCAACGAAGCCATGCAGTAAGTGGATTGATCAATCATCTTCAAGAATATTCCTCCTAATGCTTCCATTGACATGACCTCATCCATCTCTATTCTGTTGTGTTGCAATAGTACACCCGAGTTCAAGTCTTTCCTGGAACAAACGAGTGTCCTGGGTTGTCGTGTGGTGGATGCCGCGGCCAATGGAGAGAACAAAAAGTTAATACACAATGTCGTCGATTTGGCATGGTCGGGAGTCGAATTGGTCAATGATCCCGCCACTACGGTGGCGTTCGCCGAGGTAGCGGCATATCTTTGCTATGCCTTGGAAATGGAAGACACAGCAATCCACGCCATTGCCAAAGAGCGAAGCGAAATCAATCGAACGGCTGCCGAAAAACGACGAGAGAGGGATCACTTCCAAGCGGCAACCTACCAAGACATGTACTTGTTGAATGACCCCAATGCCACAGTCGAAGAGGTTATTCTGAGTGCCTTTGGTGTCATTCAAAAATCGGTCGAAGAGGCCAAAATAAGAAATGCAGCATTGGGTGGTGGTGGTGAGGAAAACGATGATGAAGGTATTCCTGGTAGTGTAGTGCTCGGATCGGATGATGACGGTGAGGATGAGGAAGGATCCCGAGCGGTGACGCCACCACCCCTTCCCGCCACACCGGAAAACACTGCTGTGAGCAATGACGACAAATTGGCCTTTGAAAAACCAGAAGGAATCGGCGGTGATCATAACGTGGACGTGAGGCTCTTACGAGAAAAGATCACCAAGTATTCGGAAGGTCAGAGACTGGAACAGCTCCGAGCACGCACAGCTGCCGAACAAAAGCCAATGTTGACATCCAATCGACAGGCGTCTGCCATCACCGATGATTTTGAAGACGATGGAAGAAAAGATATTGAGGACCTTTCCTCATTGGTAAAAGAGGAAAACATCCATTCGCAGAGCAAGCCGACGCTGCACTTTGAAAGCAACCAGGGCGGCGACTCTGCAAGCAACAACCTTGGCAGCGAAGAGAAACCCGCGGAGGAATCGAGTCCAAAGTTGCCGCTTAGCGAGGGCCGCCCCGACCGTTCCATGCCTTTGGAAGGTGAAACCCCCGCCGCTCATTTCTATCGTGTGCTGGATCAAGTATTGACCGATCGACGAGAGATTGCCATGAAATCTGTCATCCCAAAGGCGGACTTGGACGATGCTTCCGAGGAAGACGTGCTGGATTCTGGTAGAATGAAGCGACGGTTATCCAATGTTCGTGCGGAACGGCGAACATCCACTGCCCCCACGTTCATTCATCCAAAGGTCGCAGAGTTCATCAACGAGAACGAAAAGTTCGTTTGTGCAGCCTTTTTCGCTGTCATCTTCCTGGTGCTGGTGTTTTGCATGTTTGGCTTTTACGGTATGTACGCGTTTGTCTTCCCACCAACCCCGAAACATATGGCAGCTCCCGTCAGCCATGGATTCGTTGGTGGCCCCGGTGAGCTTCATGTGCCCATTGTCATACAAGAGGGCGACCTTCGATCGAGGCGCAGTGGCAAGGATGAGTATGTGATACGAGTGGTGCGAGAGGTCGTTCATGTGAACAGCAATGGAGAAGTACTGCAACATGTCCGGAAGCATGATGATGAATTATAATGAAATAGTGAAGCATGAAGGGTTTCAACCATGCAATCTAGCTTTGTGGTCGGCACTGGTTTTGTAAGTTGTTCCCATTGGTTCAGTCTAGTTTCTAACAGTAGGGACGGGTCGAACCAAATGCAGCTTTTCTGATCCTGACCAAGATCATAGGTTACCGGTAGGGGCGTGTTGGTTCGAGGAACACTACAGCAGCTACCAGTGCGTGTATTTGTGAAGATGTTGAAACCGATGACGAAGGGATAAATCGCATAGTCTACTAAGCTAGTCCTAGCTAGTTATCATTGGTTCAGTTACAATACATGCAAAAGGCGCATCTCGGGGCGCTCTGGCACAGGCAGCGTCTACCACGAAAACGATTCTGAGTGTAGGTCCAGCCCGTACCTCTCCGAAGTCTTCTTCAGTTGCTTCTCAATTTTGTTGGCACCGCCACAGTACAAAATACCCCAGCTCTGAAGGATTTCAGGTGCTAAGTTCTGTAGGAAGTTTTCTGCTTCCTCCGCCAAGAGATCTTCGTCCCATGGCTGGAACGCCAATGATGCGTCTTCCATCATGTTGCCCACAAACTCGCTCGCAGATGAGCGACGCCTGCGGTTCTGGCGAAATGATACTGGCAGGTTTCGATGGGATGTTCGAAACGACCTGCTGCTGCGTATCATCCTAGCAGGGCCCATCAGGGATGTCAAGTACTTTTCAGACAGAGCTCTCTGAGGTCCAGGAATGGCTTGGACAAGATGAGGTTTGGATGGCTTGGCCTCGCCACTTTGAATCTGGCAAGCACCCTCGTTCCCACAATCGTCCGACAGCAATGCAGCACCTTCCTCCTCGTCTCCACGGGGCTTGTCTTCCTCTTCATCGCTCTCCTGTTCCTCTCCCTGAGATGCATGCAACCTTTGAAATTCTTTCAGCTCCTCCAACGATGACGAGGGAACATTTCGCAAGGACCTGCTGGAGAGGAATTGTCCCGCTCGTCTGAACTGCCAGAGCACAATCGAGTCTCTACGGTTACCGCGACCAGCCAGTGCATGTGAGGACCCTTCGTCAGTATGCGTGGTTACGGTGAAGTCATTGTTGTCGGATTCATCCATCCCGTCATTGTCCTTGCTGCCATCCAGATCCAGGTCCTCGACCAGATCAGAAAAGAGGAATCCAAGCTCCCCTGCAAGCTCCGAAAGCTGCACCAACTTATCGCTGGATGAGAGACCCTTCACCTCATCAAGTTCTTCGAGCTTTTGTACTAGGGCTTGGGTTGCTGCAGCTTTCTCACTTGGCAAGTACCTCTCAGGCTTTCCCACTCCTGATTCTATTCCATAAATGATGTTTCGTACCACAGAGTTAATATTTGGCCGAGCCCTGATAACACACACGTTGGTGCCTGTGAGACTTTCGATAGTTGCATTCACAAGTGGAGCCTTTCCCGTGTAAAAGATCAGGTTCCAGCCTCGATGGTCCAGGTAGGCATGGTCCAAAAAGAACTCCAGCATTGCTGGGTCTCGCACCGCCCATATGAGATTGGTCCTCCGGCTTTCCTTGTGAGCTCTGATCACACTAAGGGCTGGGGTAATCCCAATGCCACCAGCAATTAAGATTTGATTGTCATAGTCCATGGCTCGGTTGTATGGAGAAGGAAAAGGTCCCTGGACCCACACAGGCCTCACTGTGTCACGTTCTAAGAGATGATGCACCTTTTCCGTCCAGTCTCCAGTTTTGAGGAGGAAGATTTGACGCTCTTCTGGGTTGGATGGATTCTCAAACAGTGAGAAGGCGTGCCATTCTTTGCGGTCAACCCACGGGAAGCAAACATAGCAGAATCCTCCCTGATTTCCCATTGCCTGAAAGCGCTTTGAGACTCTCATGGTCACCTGGACACCAGAGGGCAAAACATGAAAAACGGTGGTCTCAATTTTCTCTGACATGAACAGATAGACAAGTAACACATCCACAAAGTACCAGATAATCAACATGCTGAAGATGTAGCAGGTGAAACCACCATTTGGCATTGAAGTGGGGGTGGTGTGAAAAGTGAGGGCAATGGCAAAGACAACAAAGAAGTAATGAAGGCCTTTTCGCACTTCATAGTTCATCTTCAGTTTGAGGGTCTTGAACATCATTGGAATGCAAATGGCAATCACTGAGATGACCATTGCCACACCTGAGCTGCCTGACCAATGGTGAATGAGAAGCGATAGATTGCCTTGGTCTGCCCAGCGTCCCACATGAAATATGGTATGAAGGATCCCATCAACAGCAATTACCCAGCCACAATAGCTGTGAAGATCATGGAGATCTTGATTTATCCAGAGAACTAGTGGGGTTGCTGACAGTAGTGTCATGGTGAACCGAAACTTTGTGAAGAAGACCAGAATCAAGGCTAGTGGAAACATATTTCATCGAAGTGAGAATCATCAATCTGCCAAACAACTTTTCCTCGCTATTTGACTTTATACCGTACCTGGATACTGGAAACCGAGAACCATCAAAGGAAAATGAAATTAGTCTAGACAATCCGTTCTAACCAAAACTGTCAATATCCAAACACGCACTATCCTACCATGAAGAAAGCAGTAAAGCGAGTGATGGCGACACATGCCATCTGGAAGTCGTTGGTAGCAACCACAGCTCTAAGAGCCCCTCGAGTCAGAATGACACCTTCTTGTGTTCTCTCCTCGGAGGCAGGATCGATGATGTATCCAACTGAAGCAGTAACAAAACCACCCCAATCACTGAATGTACCAGTAGGCACAAACGTGGCGATAGTGATATACACACCCAGAGCAAGCTGGAGCACTTTGAGCTCCCAATATTTGAAGAGGGACTTCTTGATCATTCGATAACGGACATGGTCTGTCGAATTCTTGAACGAATTTGCCTTGATACTTTCGGCTTCTCTTGCTCCCTTTTCGACATCCTCAGTGCTTGGCCTCACCAAGCCATAGTCGTCCTTTTCTGTCATCATCCTTTTTCTGCTTTTAGCGCCAAGATAGCGTCCTCCAAACTCAAAAATGGAACGCGGAACCTCCAGAAGCTCGTTCAGCAACAAAGCTAGCTAGCTAGGTGGAGACGGTAGGATTAGTGTGAATAGGTGCGAGCTGCGGCTTGGGAGACTTGAGAAGTGCCTTTAGAAGAGTGATGATGCTCTGAATTTTGATGCTGGCAAAAGCAATTGAGCGGAACCGGTACATGTACCGGTACCGGTACAAAAAGTGTGGAGACGTGGGTACCGGTACGTAATTTAACCCTTCAATTTCGTTCACGGGTGTACAACGCATTAACTTTCCAGGGACGGCCTAAATCTGACCAAACTAGTTTGAGCTCATATCTTTTACAAAAGCCGAATGGAATCGAATCTGGACTCGACTCGTCACTCGGGACACCCAAAACATCACCTGATGCTGAAACCAGACTAATTACTGGTACCAGGTACCCAGGTACTACCATACAGTACCGGTACTGTAGAGAGCTGTACTGTAGCGGTACTATCATAGTACATGCATGCACATGATGTACCGGTGGCAGAAGAGTGGTCCTTGCCTCTGCTTTCACATGCCTGTCAAGCCAGATAGAGCACCAAGCCTATGAAAGTTGAGGTGCAGTCAGATCAAATCTATCAGCCAGTTGGCTGGACCTGCAATTTCTGTAGTTTTCAATGGCTTTCGGGGAGTGTGCCATAGAATACTGAAGAGCTCCACCACAAAACTCCCGCAATACAACTAACTGTGCTTCTGGTCGAACCTGTGGGAATCATTGTTGTCGAGGGAAGGATCGATGTCCTCATGCCAGATACTTGACTGTTTGATTCGGAAGCGCCCTGAATCTGTACTTCAGATGATATATATGTCAATCCACTCCCTGCGTTTTAATCTTCACACCAAGGTACGGTAGCTCGCAACTGTATATTCCATTTTCTCCGGTAGTGAGACATCCGGAGATGCTAGCTAGCTATTAGTACTTTCATGTTGCGTAGTATCCTTTCTATAGGTTTAGTTCTAATAGTGTTCTTTACACTGGTAGGTACATGGTACATTGCACACTGGGATGTGATCCAGCAACCAAGCAGCGCCCAACGTCAACTTGTATATTTACAGTCGGGGAGTATTCCCACAGCTCTGCTGCTCCACGTGCAGGCATTTGTCTTTGTACATGCTCACTTCACGTGATGCCTCCGTGGTTGGTATTCTGTACAGCTGCTTGATCTATTGACAAGTAAGGATCAGCCCTGGAATGGCTGGACTTAATCGTACACAGATTCGTGACATACTGGATAAAGGGTGACAGGTGTTCCTCAGCCTTAGTAACACTCGATATCCACAAAATGGCCCCAAGTGCCAGCGGCATCCGCTGTGGGTGCAGGTAGGAATGATGAAGCAGCGGTCATGGACGGTCTCCTAGAGCTGCAACTTGATCCACTGCTTGTGCTGGAGTGCCTTGAAGAAGCGCTACTGATGGTAGAACCAAATGCTCGGCTCCTCGAAGACGCCAGTAATCTTGATTGTTGTTGCGAACGTCGCTTCAAACTGTTGGACAAGATGGCGGGCATGGTGCTTTGTCGGGATTGTTTTATGAATCGGTTCAAAAGAGAGATGGGGTGAGTTTTATGAGCTCTCTTCAATCAGATGATCCTTGCTGCAAGTCGTACGGTAGGAGCAACCGGAATGGTTGCAGTAGAGTTTGCATTCGAAAGATAGCAGGTCTTGGCTTGCATGCCCATCAAACAGACATCAACTGCCCGTCAACTGCCCAGCATCGCCACCTAAACCTTGCATTTGGCGTGCTGACGTTGACCCGTCAAACTCACGATTGGTGTCCTTTGCTGCATTTTCTCTCTTTCCCAAGGCGTCATCGGAATCAAGACATGCGAATGTCGCATCGCGAGAAAGTGGGTGTCAAGACGATGACCACGTAAGTAAGAATTCACCAGTTCCCTAATGAGTTCGTTGAAGCGTTTCCGAGTCGGCATTCCACTGGCATTATGACTTTCTACCGTTCGTAATGGGCATTAGAGATGCCGATTCGCAGGAGAAGTCTTAAGTCTCAAGCTCTTGAAGTCAATCAGTTCTGGTTCAAGTCTTGAAGTCAGAGCTTTGAGATTACTAGTCTAGCTAAGATCCACAAGCTAACACAACCTTTCAACCTTTCTGCAGCTCTCTCTAGAGCTACTAGTCTGCCGCTCTATCTTGCATGGACTCCTTGAAGCAAAGCCTGAAAGACCATCCACTGAGAGTCTGGGCTATTCCTCACAACACAGCTGAATGACATGGCTGCCTGCTTGATGTTGAGGAAACTAAACAAAAAGAGCTTCCTCTGCAATAGTTTCTTGCTGCCGTGAACCCTGCCTTGTGCCGCGGCTTTGGTGGTCGTTAAACTTGACTATTACTGGTACTCTGCACTTGCAACCAGGTACTCCTGAATGGTTCCAATGCCTTTTGTTTGGTGTGGATCTGCTTGGACTGAACAACTCGGCAACAGCCCTGAAACTTGGAATTGGATACATGCAGTTTCTGCATATCAGTAGTGGATAAACTTGGCATTGAACATCCTAACTACATGTATAGTGAGTCTACTCAAGTCATAGTTTTGTTGCTGCTGTATTGAAGAGGCAGCAAAGGCCAACGGCTACCTACAGATACTCATCAGTACAAATTTATTTTGATACTCCTCCGGCGGAGCCAGATCTAGAGTAATGCCGTACCGGTAATGCCTTTCGTGGTCTTTGGAGTCACTATCAAAGAACCCTAAAAATGCCCAGAGTTCTTGAGAGGAAAAATGAAAAGATCGGGTGACATCCGTTGACGTGGTACCAGTACTATAGCCTCTTCTGTAGTCGGCTTTCGGATGACGTGGTCCGGACTTCGAAAGATACTCTACCGATTTCGCCGGTTGACGCAAAAAGCATTCTGTTGGATGCTTGAGGCCGGTCTCTACCCGAGCGACTAAGAGCATCCAATACCAGGGTACCCCAAAACCCATCCATACATGTCTCATCAGACATCCCATAAGTAAAAATATGGCCCGAGAGCAGGCCAAGCAAAAATGCGATTTATTTGAGAGTTAGGGTTACTTTGCACATGGTTTGGGTGGATCGATCCGGAACGCAAAAGGGTGATATTTGGGTCGCGTTCGAGCGTTGGGCAAATCTCATGCAAATTTTCCCTTAAGTAAAAGGGTTAAAGTTATCTTGCTGTCACGAAAATGTCACACGCATGACTCAGCGTGTCACATAGCCGGATTTTTGCAAGCAAGCATAGCCTGGCAGCGAGGATGTCAAGCTTTCGGCAAATACGCACGAATCAATGCATGGGTTTTGGGGTACCCTGGTATTGGATGGTCTAAGGGACCGACTAAAGGAATCCTTTAGGTGGTTGTTTAGTTCAAGATTTAGTCATTATCCTTTAGTAATGGTGGTGTCTACCAGCAGATGACTAAATCTCCGACTAAACAATTTAGTCGAGTGTTTAGTCAAAACGTGGTGTCTACCATGGCAACTAAACAAATGACTAAACGGAACACTACCGGACTTAAAGGACTCAAAAAGATTTAACAAAAGTGATCACTTGGTGGGCTACCAATATTCTATCAGCATGGTGGATTTAAAGGACTTAAACAAAGACATAATAGAAGTGATTACGTTTTCGAGTTAACAAGACTTCGAGTTAACAAGACTCAAAACGTTGGATCGTTTGCACCTCTACTATGGGCCGTTCGATCGTTGGATCGTTTGCACCTCTACTATCGGCCGATACTCCTCTTTGATCGTTCGATCGTTTGCACCTCTACTATCGGCCGATACGGTACTCCTCTTCGATCGTTCGATCGTTCATCGTTTGCACCTCTACCGGTACACAATGGGGCGTTTGCACCTCTAGTCTATCAGCTCTGTCACGATGCTCTGATAGTGAGGCTGTGCAATGAGGCTGATTTTGTTATCCAACTCGGTGGCATGCAGTTTTCTGTTGGATTTATTTGCTGTTCTTAAAGAGGCTTTAGTCGGTAAATTCACTCACCGACTAACCAGCCTCCCTTTAGTCCGTGAACCAACATTTCGACTAAAGGCTTTAGTCCGTATGACGTTTAGTCGCTTGGGTAGACACCACCCCAAGAGACTAAACTATGGACTAAACTACAAAATATGGCTTAGTCGCTACTTTAGTCGCTCCGGTAGAGACCGGCCTGAGGGATGGCGGCCAGTCCCAGCCAGCAGCAATCAGCGTCAATCAGCATCATAATATCCAAACCAATTCAAAGCAAAGGTACCAGTTCTTTTTAACTATCTAATAGTCACCATGGTCCTCGAATCCTTTCAACCACTCAAGAATAATCACAGCCAGCTGTTGGGATCACCATCCATGATGCGAAGAGTCAGTACTTGCAGCAGCAGTGGTTCGACAGGAGGGGTATCGTGTTTGAACCTCTCCTCGCTCAACTTGAGCGAGAGTCATCAGTCCGGTGCTCGGCTCAGTTCCTACTCCTCTTCTTCGATGGCTCAAAGCGGTTCCATGATGAGACGCGGGTGGGGAAGTACAGAAACCAGAAGGGCTTCTACCTCTCTGAGCACAATGGCAGGGACTGCGGAAGACAATTCTGGCAATGGTTGGACGGCTGGTGCTGCCTGTGTTGTGCCCAACACCAATGCAGTGCCTACCAACAACAATGATAAGGACGGATGGGGCTATTTTGTTGATGTTGCCGGAGATGAAGACGAAGACGCCCTGATGTGGTGAAGTCAAGAAGCACAAACACTACACACGAGCATGCACGCAACCCCAAGCAACCAACGCTGACACACAGCTATTGTTGGGCCCGCAGCCCACTGCACACACCAATCACATTCTCGAGAGAAGAAGGGCAAGACGTCTCACACTGTACAAAGACAGAAGCATCCTTGGGATGGCCCCAATTGCAAATACAACCGCTACCCAGAGCGACGCGCCTACACTGTAGGATGCACCGATTTTCCCATACAAAGGCACATAGAAATCAAAAGTATAGACAACCACCTTGTTAAAACAAAAACATTTGATAGCCTTTTCGTCCCCCTGTTTTGCGCAGTGTAGTTTATTCGTACCGGTACGTGGATCTTCGCGGGTCAAACTGTTACTTTAACAACAGCATCGGTTGCGTGCGGTAGAATTCATTTTCGGTTTGATACTTTACTGGTAGTCTGGTGGTGCTTGCCTGATTCTTCGAGTGGCTCAGTCTACCAACATTTAAAAAATGGCGAAGCAAAAAAGTGCCAGCAGATGAAAACTATTTCCCAATCATACTTCATTCTTTCTATAGAGGTGGACCAGGTTGGGTTCATTCGATATTCACTCCAAAGAATTCACTCCCTTCGTTCAAAGACTTGAACGCTTTCTACATTTCTCGATCATCCTTGATCACGGCCCAACTCGCGAGGGTGACCTTTTGTTTGT